GAGACAAGTCTTCATTTGTGCTGCTCTGGTGGGAGGGGCCACGTACAGAGACGCTGGAGACACTGCTGTGATAAACACCACAGAAAATTAACAAGATTTTAATAGAAAATATCATTAAAATATCCATCCATCTATCCATTTTCTTCTGCTTATCCGGGGCCGGGTCGCAGGGGCAGCAGACTAAGCAGGGACTCCCAGACTTCCCTCACCCCAGACATGTCCTCCAGCTCCTCCGGGGGGACCCCGAGGTGTTCCCAGACCAGCCCAGAGACATAGTCCCTCCAGTGTGTCCTGGGTCTTCTCCGGGACCTCCTCCCGGTGGGACATGCCTGGAACACCTCCCAAGAGAGGTGCCCAGGAGGCATCTGGAACAGATGCCCGAGCCACCTCAACTGGCTCCTCTCCATGTGGAGGAGCAGCGGCTTTACTCCGAGTTCCTCCTGTGTGACTGAGCTCCTCACCCTATCTCTAAGGGAGCACCCACCCACTCTGTGCACTCCCTTAGGAGGCTAATTAAAATATTTTTGTAGAAAATCAGCTGAGGGCCACATTAAAGGTTTTGGAGGGCCAGATCAGGCCCCCGGGCCTTGTGTTTGACACCTGTTGTTTAGAGCTTCCCTTTCCCTTTGAGTTCCCCTTTGATTTACGGACAAAATCGTGAAATAAAAACACCAGGATCAATTACAGTGGGTTAATGGATAAAAGCTCAAAACAGTTCTACGCAATACGTTTTCTTAAAAATAAGAAACTCTAAAAAACAAAAAGGCAAATAAGATTAAAACCAAAGACATTGCCTAAACATCATTGAATCAGCCATGTCCTTCACTACAATGTCTTCTGTCTGAGTGCCAAACTCATTCAATAAAGCTACCAGTACTTTTTCTTTGTGTCTGAGTCTCTTCAGGTTGAAATGTTGTTTTTTCTTTTCTTTTTCAATCATTTTTTTTGCAGTTCACTCTAATATAAAGTGTTGTCTCCTCAGATCAAGCTGAACAGTAAAGGCCTGATCTTCTCTGTGGGTCTTCTGCTGGCCTCAGTCTTCATGACGGTGAGTTTGTCTACTATATAAACCTTTTCACAACAGCCGGAAGTGCCCCGCTGGAGTTTTGTGGAACTCCCGGTGAATGCTTTTCTGGCAAAATGTGTGTGTAAATGTGTGTCGTATTCTTCACCAGCTTCATAAATCTGCCCCATCAGCAAATCTTCAACCAACAAGGTCCACAAAGGATAAACATTCTTGAATAATTTATCCACAACTACCAAGGGAAGACAGACGAAAACTTAAAGGAGACGACGATGCATTACTGACACACTGAACAAAACTAACAATATGGTATCTTAGGCTGCGTTCAGACTGCAGCCTGAAGTGACCCAAATCCCATTTTTTGGCCTCTATGTTCCTGTATCTGATCTTTTAATGACAGTCTGAACGACACAGATCCGATTTTTTCAAATGTGACCCAGGACACTTGGATATGTGCTCCTGAAACTGATACATATCTGATCTTCTGACATGTGACTTCAGTTTGAACGGTCAAAGTGCATTCATCCACCTACACGTTATCAACAAGACACAAACGTACACAAACTTTATTCTCGTCATATGAAAATTGTTCATGAACTCCGTGTCACTGAAGTGAAGCACATCACCACTCACCACTCTTGGCTCCGTCTCCACATCCACACGTTCCTTTCAACAGACGTCGCTGCTGCTGCCCCCAAAACACCACGGCCAAAAACCTCGTCCTTCTCCTTCTCAATCTCCTCCTTAAAACAAGTAAGTTGTTCATGTTCTGGCTCCGGTACGAGAGGAACTTTAAAATCTCCAGGTGCTCAATGCTGCGTCCATGTTTGGACAACGTCTGTAAACAAAGAGCACGCTCGCTGAGGTTGACGTCGTCTTGTCTCCAGTGCACATGTGGGACACTTTCGGGTTGTTTAATGTTCACACAGGGGATCACATACAAGACACATTTAACTGTAAATGTGAACGACCTCGCAAAAATATCGAATTTAAAAAAAAATCCGAATTGAGTGTTAAGCCCTGCAGTCTGAACGTAGCCTTAGTTATTAAGTAGTTAGACCTGATGCGGTCCTGGTTTAATCTTAGTTTAGTCCTAGTTTAGATCAAATTGGTCCAAAATATGGACACCTGGGACATTTCTTGTATAAAACTGGGACAAATCTGGTTTTGTATAAATCTGCTGGGACAGTGGACACAGGATAGAGCCTGCAGTCCTGCGGGACCCGTGGGACCCGACGCAAAACAGTGCAGCGCGGGACACATTTTGAAAGCTCACGCCGGGGGCGGGCGGGAGCAGGACTACACAACGCGGGAGCGAGCGGGTGGGATGATAAACTGCAGTCCCACAAACTATATATGAGTTTAAAGTAAAATGTACAAATGATGAATGTAAGAATATTATACATCATTTGTTTAATTGTTTCTTTGTAATGTTCTGATGCCAATTAACTTTATTAACTGGATTAATTTAATTAATTTACCTGATTGTTGATGTAAAGTGTTTAACTGTTATTCATAGACTGATTATATGTGTGTGTAACTTCAGTTAGTAAAATGATTCAAATGTTCCTCTAGATTACCAGACAAAAGGATAGTACAGATAAACACATAGTTCAGATGAAAGGATAGTTCAGATGAAATCAAACCACAGATTAAGAAATTGAAGACAGGACATTAAAGCTCCAAAATATGTTCTGGTTCTGTTTCTACTCTCTGACCGGAGTATTTATTGTCTGGATGAAGTGTCCCAGTACACATTCTACAGTCGTCCTAACTATGTCCAACACCAACACTAAACTGACACACTGTGGAATATTTTAGACATAACAAATGGTGCATCCAACCTTGCATCTTGTAAAACTAAATTATATATATGTATATGTATATGTATATATATATATATATATATATATATATATATATATATATATATATATATATATATATATATATATATATATATATATTAGGGGTGTCAAATTATCGCGTTAATTGCGATTGAATTAATTACAGTCATATTTAACGCGTTATGTTTTTTAATCGTGTTAATCTCATTTTTAATCTCTAACTTGACTGTTTCTGTATGCGAGCTGCTTTATTATAAAACCTGTTTTTATGTGTTGTTGGGACAACAACACACACACACACACACACAAAAACACATTTTATAATTTTTTTTATTTCGGTAATTCCACTCATTGCCGGAAACTGTCAGCTTCTTCTGGAGGGGCCTGAAAAGAGCCTTAAAAGAGAGTCCAGAAGGATTAAAGGTGTTCACAAACATGTCTCTTTATTAGGCTCACACAGGTACAGATCTCTTGATTCAAGTTGATTCACACAGCATCTCTCCACGTCACCTCTCCTAGTACAAGAAGAGCTGACAGCTTTATACTGACCATCTCGTCACAATATTGACAAACTGTAACTGGTATTTACAGGAAATTCACAGAAATGTTGACCTAGACAGTGTAACCACAGATAGTCATATGTTAAAGAGTTCAGACACTCCCCCTTTATGTCTCATATACATCACAAAGTCCATCATAACATGTCCCAAACTCATTGACATTTTAAAGTTCAGACACTGACTTCTCTTTATGACACATGTACAAGAACATTGAACCCCTCCCACATTGCATGGTGAATTAACATGAATGAAAAACTAAAAATACAGAAATTAATTCCCACAAAACCCACACAAAACGAGCGCAGTAAGAGCGATGTAAACGTCATATTCACGTTGGTGGCGTCAGTCACACAATGGACGAGGTGGAAGAGCCAGTAGAACAGAGCAGCAGTGCACAGGTAAAAACACATTCGTGTCTTGGAAATTCTTCTCCCGACGTGAAATATAAAAGAAAATAACAAATATAAAATCGCCTACAACTTAAATGTCACTGGTGAAAACAACCTGCATAGACTCATGATGTCTGCACTACTGTCCTATACACAAACACACAAACACACACAAACACACACACAAACACACACACACACCTTCATCATCGTCATTAACCTGAGAACGCGCGGACCACGTTTCCTTCCGTAGTTACTGCGCGGACACCGACGTGCTCCCGTGAGCCGCGTGTGGATCGTGTTTTCTCATGTACGCGGCGTAAACCGCGCTTCCTCCTGTGCGACTCTAAACCAGAACTAACACCAAGACTAAAACCAGGACTAAACCAGTCCACGACTAAACCAGGACTAAAACCAGTCCAGGACTAAACCAGGACTAAACCAGAACTAAAACCAGAACTAAAACCAGAACTAAACCAAACTCAGTCTAAACCAGGAACTAAACCAGAACTAAAACCAGAACTAAAACCAGGTCTAAACCAGGACTAAACCAGAACTAAAACCAGAACTAAAACCAGAACTAAAACCAGGTCTAAACCAGGACTAAACCAGAACTAAAACCAGAACTAAAACCAGGTCTAAACCAGGAATAAACCAGGACTAAACCAGAACTAAAACCAGAACTAAAACCAGATCTAAACCAGGTCTAAACCAGGTCTAAACCAGGACTAAACCAGAACTAACACCAGGACTAAAACAGGATTAATCCATTCCAGGACTAAACTAGGACTAAAGTAGGTCTAAACCAGGTCTAAACCAGGACTAAAACCAGTGATCTCATATATAAAGCATTTCTCTATCAATAATATTTTTAATATGGTTAAGGAAAGACTGGACTTTTTATTGTCTTTAAGTAGACAAAAGTTATTATGTTCAGATTTCCTCGTCTTTGCTACTTTACAGCAAACAGTTTCTTATTCATGGAGACTTGGGCTCAACAGACAATTTGGAGAGATTTGTTAAACAATAAATGACTTTATAAAGTCACTTTTTTAATCTATATCAGTCTTGACATGACAGCACTAATATATATATATATATATATATATATATATATATATATATATATATACATAGATATAGATAGATATATAGATAGATAGATAGATAGATAGATATATTCATTCATTTATTTAGTAATTTGGTCATTTCACTGATTTGGCAAAACGAGGACTCACTATTTTATTCCTTGCTTTGGTTCCTCTTTTGGTGACTGAGTCTGTAAGTGTCAAAAGCTTCAAAAGCTTCATGTTCATGTTGTGTAATCCTTCAGTCGTCCAGATACAGTCAGTTTATGCAGTCAGTTTCTCAGTGGAATATGAGTGTTCTCTCTGTGACAGAGGATGTGCTGCTGATGGGGAGTCTGTAAATGGTGGAAAAGGTTGGTGGTGCTTGAAGCTTTTAGTTGGCACCAACTTTGGGGGGAGGGGAGCGTGGGAGGGGAGGGCAAACAAGCGAAGCAGCAAGCTCAGAATTAAATATATAGACATATACGATCTGTCCGAATCCAATTTGTGTTTAAAAAATATCTCCACATATTTAAAATATCAAGATATCGCCCCTTTTCTGAAATCTGTAAATTTTCCAATGTATTTTTGAAAATGTCGTCTATTAAATCACTTACTGGCAGAACCAGTAATGAAATTAACAGAGAAAGAAATGCACACAAGCTAGAATGACTTTTTTGAAAGTCTTTTTTTTTTTTTTTTCATCTTTACTCAACTGAAACTTGATTCAATAAACAGACACAGAATCAGTGCAGTTTACTTTGGCCTTCATGTAAATCTGTGAGTGCACTAGAGTTCTTTGACAATATTTTTTACTTAACAGAGAAATTAAGACAAACAATATTTAATTTAATGGTTTTTATTTTCCAATTTTCAGATGCGGTAGTTCCAGTCTTCAGGTTTATCTTTCCCTTTTCCGTAGTCTATAGTATACAAGTCTATACCAGATCTAAACCTGGTCTAAAACTGACCCATTAACCTCCAGAGCGACAGTGGAGAGGAAAAACTCCCTTTGAGGAAGAAACCTCTGGCAGATCCAGGCCACAGGAGGGCGCCTCTGCCTCAGCGTGATTGGGTCAGGGCTACAAGAACTAAACCATGTCTAAACCAAGGACTAAACTAGGTCTAAACGAAGACTAAACCAGGTCTGAACCAGGTCTAACACCAGATCCAAACCTGGTCTATAGGCTGCTGGAACTAAACCACATCAAATCCAATCTCAGATTAACTGATCCAACGTTGGCCTCCTGTGCGTCTCCTGGGGGGTGAAAGGTCACCATCATGGTTGCTGTGGAAGACTCAGGGGAGAGGATAGACAGAACAGCCCTCATATACACGTGGGTTTAACCGGAGCCTACTGTTCTTTTGACAAATTTGGAAACATTTACACTCATATCTACTGAGATATAAACTTCAGTAGACAGTGTAAGTTACACTATTCCTGTTGGAGATTTAGCCGTACGACGCTACAGTAACAGTGGCACCAAAAACCCCTGTGTATTTCTTTGGTTCACCTGTCGTTACTGTCGTCCTTTAAACCTCAAATTGCCCAAGAAATGTCATTTAGACAAACTTCCAATTTCTTTCTACAGATTCCAACTGGTCGGGAGGAAGTTTCAATACTCATCATGCTGATTTTGAGACAAACAGTGGATCTCCTGACCTCTTTCCACAAAGCCAACCGGTCCACTCTGTTCAAGATCAGTTCTGATAAAGTATTATCAATGACACTGTCCTTGTTGAGGGGGCGTGACTTGGCCGACAGGGGGCGCAGGTGTTCCGTGCACCTTAAAATTGTACAGACAGGTGTATTCCGTGTTGCCCCAGTTGGACTCCACCTGCAGTCGTACATGTTTAAAAGATACACCTTTCCGTCCTGAAATCGCAAACGTTTGGAAACCCGGTTCCCCCGTGTCGTAGAAAAATCGTCCGAGTAGTTGCTCCGTTCCATCCAACGTCATCTTCCCCTAAAAAAAGAAGAAAATCAGATGTTTAGTTTAATGTGTGGATTAAATAAGGACATCAGGACTTAAACAGATTTAAGGTTCAAGATAAAATTGATCTTAAACAATTTGGAATGAAGGAGACTGAAACAGGAGGACCAAATGAAGTTCAACTAATATTAACTAGGATACAAAAACAGTTAACCCTGGAGTTTCGATCAGTCAGTTTTCAGTTTCAGTCATATTTTGGTCTTTTTTTCAATTCTTCTGGACGTGTTTAGAAATACAGTATCCATCTATCTACTTCCACTTTTCCAAATTACAAATACCAGCTTCAATAAAACAAAATAAATAGAACAGAACCCATGACTTACGTAGACAGCGAAGTGCTTGGGTGCCGATGTGGTCTCCCCGGTTGGCGATTGGGTCTTGGTGATGTGCCCCAGTGTCACGTGGGTAATTTGGATGTTCTGGGCCAGTTGGATGTGAAGGTGTCCTTTGTCTCCAGCGAAGGGCCAGCAGTAGCCGGGGATCAGGGGGGAATCAGGGCGCAGCACAAAGAGATGTTTGGAGCACAACAGCCACTGGATCATCTCCAATACACCGTGTCGAAAGTAGGTGGGGCTAGAGCGAGATCGGAGAACTGTGGCCTCTGTGGGGAAAATGAGACAAAGATCCATTTTTGGATTTAGTCAGCGAGTCAAACCATTTCTTCTACTGTACACTGAGACTTTTAAAATACATTTGAAGTCACCACATTTTTCACTTCATGAAATATACTTGCATGTATTTATTTTTGTTGTGTAGTTTCTTAAAGGACAAGGTTTATGTTTGTGTTCATTTGTTTATAAAATGTACTATAGAAATCAAATGGATGAAACAGAGCCAGTAGCCGTCAGGTGTAGTGTAATTAAAGACATGTTTGTAAGAGGTTTGATACTTACGCTGTGACAGAAGAGCGTAGTTTACCATCAGTGGAGCATCTCCTGCTGCTAGTACTGCTCTGTGCCCTCTTAGTGCACCTCCTACACCTCCTACATCTCCTACACCTCCTACACGTCCTACATCTCCTGCTGCTAGTACTGCTCTGTCCCCTCCTAGTGCACCTCCTGCACCTCCTGCATCTCCTGCACCTCCTACACCTCCTACATCTAGCTGGAATCTAGGAGTTGTTCCACTGAAAACAAGAAAAACATGGGTTACACGCTTTTCAAGTTGAATTATTTAAATGAAAAGTATTTTGGACATGTTACTTACCATCTTCCTGCAGTGTATAAATAAACAAGATGGCTCCAAGCAGCATGAACAACACCATGCCCAAAACCTCAAACTGCGTGGGCAGGTAGTTGGGCTTTGGCTGTTTGGTTGAATTAGTTCGAGAAGGCAGTGGCAGTGGCAGTGGCAGTGGCAGTGGCAGTGGCACAAAGTGATGCTTTTCATCATCACGCTGTCTCTGCCTTCGTCGCTTGAAGACTCTGCAAACAAGAAAACATTTGGAATGAGTCATTTTGTAGAAATGTAAAAGTAAAAGTAGAGTTCAGTGTCATTTGGGATTCTAGGGACTGAGTTACTTAAGTAAAAGTACAGTTACTTAGTTAAAGCTGTACTCAGTCACAAGTCCAAGTGTAGTACAGTCCAGTATGAGCTTAAAGATCCTATATTACACAAAACTGACTCTTGTGAGCTTTTAGTCACAATTATCCCCCAAAATCTACTTAACTACAGAAACATTAGTATTTTACTTTTCACCGCTGGTCCCAGTGTGGTCCCATTGTTACCACAGCCCTGTACTCTGCTATTGAAATGAAGCTCTTTTTATATCACAGAACTCAAACTTACCTGAAGAGTCTTTCCTTGTAGCTGATGACGGATTTGTCCTGTGGTCCATAATAACCCTTTTCCTGAAGACGGACACTGCGCCTTAATTCTGGACAAAAATCACAAAAGTACAAATAATCAGTTAATCAAATGTCCTAACATGCATCAAGGCTTGCCCAAGATCTCACAATCGGATCGAAATCACAATTTGAGTTGGTGCAATTATTTAGTCATTTCGACTTTTACAAACATATCCTGAAATGTTCCTGTGTGTCACATGTCCTCTTTGTGTCTCTACAGGGTCTTATTCTGTGTAAAAGCTGCTCACACTGTAGTTAAGAGCTCTACAAACATGTTCTGAAATCCATGGGCTCTTTGTATTAGTTTGTCAGTTCAGATCTCTCCCATGTGAATGTGCCTGGATTTGTTTCTATGTTCACACAGAACAGAATCCTACTTTTTAAACATATATTGCAAATCTGATCACAGTTGCAGTACTTTCTGTACAGCGTACATACAACACAATGCAAAGTGAGTGCATTTTGGTTGAGACGCAAAACATATTGTAACTTTTCAAACTTGAAATTTCAATGTACTGACCAGAAAAATGTGTATTGTGTGAAATTAAATCTGTAGTTCACCAAAAAACATCAAATCTGGAACAAAACCAGTGTTGCATTTCAACGTTTTCCACACAGAGTTGAGATCCTGGCTTGAACTTACCTGGGGTTGAACGTTCCATTTCTGTCGTGTTTTTCTCTCGTAGAACTAAAACTGAAAGTGTTGTTGGAAGAATTTGTCGAAATCTCCTGCTTCTCACTCTCTGGAAACAAACACGTCTTACTTGTACGAAAACCTGTACAGAAGTGAGGGGCTTTGTAGTCTATTATCTGTGATGTCATAAAGTGAGATGACATCGTCATGGCAACCGGAACTATGGCAGCTGAGCCGCCAGAATTTGAAAAACAACACAAGAATAAGTTCTATATGGAATTGTACAGATTAAAACACAGACTGTGTGCATTGGTAATTGTAATATTGGTGTGTTAATGTAATGTTTGTAATAATGTTACTGTTTATTCATATTTCAGTTCACGCTCTTCATACAGCGTATTTCCTAAACAAAACAAAATTTACATAAAAATAGTCATAAAATATGAATAAAATGGAAATTTTCAATCGTCAAAATGTGTGTTTAAACTGCCTTTGTTAAGGTTTAGATAATGTCAAAAGTTGAATAAACTGTCATTCTAAAAGTGCAGAAATATTACTTCCTATTTGTATTTGTAAGACTACATTACCATATGATATTTTTATTTTGAGCTCCGTAGACATACACCTTGTATTCTAAGGCTGTGTTCAGTCTGCAGCCTGAAGTGACCCAAATCCCATTTTTTCGCCGCTATGCTCCTGTTTCTGATCTTTTAATGACAATCTGAATGACACAGATCCGATTTTTTCAAATGCGACCCAGGGCGTTTGAATATGTGCTCCTAAAACCGATACATATCTGATCTTTTGACATGCGACTTCAGTCTGAACGGCCAAAGCTCATCCATCCACCTACACGTTATCAACAAGACACAAACATCACTATTCTGCTCTGAAGTAGGTGAAAATTGTTAATGAACTCCGTGTCACTGAAGTGAAGCACATCACCACTCACCACTCTTGGCTCCGTCTCCACATCCACACATTCCTTTCAACAGACGTCGCTGCCGCTGCCCCACAAAACACCACGGCCAAAAACCTCGTCCTTCTCCTTTTCAATCTCCTTAAAACAAGTAAGTTGTTAATGTTCTGGCTCCGGTACGAGAGAAACTTTAAAATCTCCAGGTGCTCAATGCTGCGTCCATGTTTGGACAACTTCTGTAAACACAGAGACGCTCACTGAGGTTGACGTCGTCGTGTCTCCAGTGCACATGTGGGACACTTTTGGGACGTTTAATGTTCACACTGGAGATCACATACAAGTCACATTTAATTGGAAATGTGAACGACCTCGCAAAAACATCGGATTTCACACAAAAAAAATCCGAATTGAGCGTTAAGCCCTGCAGTCTGAATGTAGCCGTAGAGAGGTCTCACAATCAAACTGCACAAATCTATCTATCTCTGCTAACATTGACATCGTGAAATTGATTTTTAAATTTAATTGTAGAATCAGTCTGAGTGAACAAGTTCCTTCTGTTTTATTCATGACCATAATGTTAGTTTTGTTCAGTAGTTCTCTCGTGCGTCGTTGTTCTCCTTTAAGCTTTTGTCTTTCTTCCCTTAATAGTTGTGGATAAATTCTTCATGGTAGAATGTTTATCCTTTGTGGACCTTGTTGGTTGAAGGTTTGGTGATGGGGCAGATTTATGAAGGTGGTGGAAAACCATTAACCAGAAGTTCCACAAAACTACAGCGGGGTTTAGAGAAGCTCCTCTGTGTGTCTGAGTTCTGTAGATCAGATTCATCTATTGTTTTTTCGAGAAACCCTATAGTTTAAACTGAGCTGGAGACAGGTCAGAATTCTATGGTGGAATTTGCTGTTTAATAATTAATGACACTATTTTCAGGTCTACGTTATAATGCAGGGGTCTCCAACCTTTTTCCTCTGGTGAGCTACTATCACAAAAAGAGAATGCCAGAGAGCTACTAGTTTCAGCAGTTACAAGAAATGAAGTATGTTTAAGCACCACTGCGAATCTTAAATGAGGTACAGTTAAACGCCTATAAAACATAAACCATTATCCATTCATTAGTGCACAAAGTGAGGCATCAAAAGGATACATGTACATTTGTAAAAGGCTTTTAATTGATCACATTTGACTGATTCAGGATTGAGAAATCCCTTGGCCAGATACTTGGAAGAGGGTGGAGCGCTACTGGTAGTTCCCGAGCTACAGGTTGGAGACCCCTGTTATAATGTTTCCTCATCATAAACATACTTGGGGCTGTGTTTTGTTTCATTCACACAAATAGAAAATGTTCCAGTTTGTGATCATGTCATGCAGTAATACACAGTACAAGTGCTCCATTGTGTTTTTAATCTTTGTCATTAGACTCATTTAAATCGGGTGTACACTGTGCGATTTTTGACCCTTTTTGAGCCGATTTTTCACTCGTGCGACTGTTTTGGGGATCAGGCCGAGTTTTGGCTTCATCGTGTGTCGTGTTTCGTGTAGTAAACATGGGGTAAAGAACCGATTAATACCTCACGACCAGCTCCCGATCGGCATTCGTAGGTCACAAGAAAATCAAACTTGTTTGAAATCCAGTCGCCTCTTATGAGGGTTTCACTCTGTTGAAGTCGTTCCACGAGCCGATTTGCCAGAATCTGTCAGACTGAGCATGTGCGGATACAGAAGCAGAAGCAGGATATGAGGTTGTGGAGGACGATGGCGCCGGCGAGTGTTTTGGACACAGGACATGGAGGCGCAGCTAATCGAGCAACACAGAACACAAGTTTGGTGAAAAACTTGATGCTACTTACCTCCAGTTCCTTCTGAAAAACTGACAACCTGTACTGCCCACGTCTGTCCACGTCTGTCCACGTCTGCCCACGTCTGCCCACGTCTGCCCACGTCTGTCCACGTCTGTCCACGTCTGTCCACGTCTGCCCACGTCTGTCCACGTCTGCCCACGTCTGCCCACGTCTGCCCACGTCTGTCCACGTCTGCCCACGTCTGCCCACGTCTGTCCACGTCTGCCACGTCTGTCCACGTCTGTCCACGTCTGTCCACGTCTGCCCACGTCTGCCCACGTCTGCCCACGTCTGCCCACGTCTGTCCACGTCTGTCCACGTCTGTCCACGTCTGCCCACGTCTGCCCACGTCTGTCCACATCTGTCCTGCCATTTCTTTGACCAGATTCGTCGCCTCTTCTTTTTGGGCTTGTCTGTGCAGAGAATGGCACAAGTTGCCAAGGCAGCGTGTCTGTTTTTTTGCTTGGATCAGCATGTCTGTGTCTGTGGTTTTCCAATTCTGTGGTTTTCTAATTCTGAAACAACTCCAGTCGTTATGTGAACGTCCAGTGTGCGCAGGCAGGTCACATTCAAGCATCAGTTCGTACAGTGTGAGAACATGATTCGTGAGCTGTGAACTTTTAAACCCTGCGATTTGGTCGTACAATTTAAGCTGGGGCTGAGTGACACGCCCGAAAATATCGCACAGTGTACACCCGGCATTAGATGATTTCAGCCCTACAACTGCCAATCTCTACTGAACAAAATATAAAATGTAGCTGTTAACTTGAAAACTACTGCTTCATGACATCACAAGGTGGAACAGAACATTTTGATCTTTGGAGATGTAGACAGACTAATAATAAAGTGTTACTCAAACATGTGTAAATGAAACACATAACACAACTCCAGGTCTGTTTTTGCAGAGGTAACAACATTATAAGATGATTAAAAGCTCACAAGTCAATTTTGTGTAATATACGAACCTTAACGGTCAGGTTGCAGATTTGTTGACCTGGTTTATGGTTCATATCTCTGTAATTACCGGGCCTATCCAAAGGAAACAAAAAACTGGCACAAAGTTCAGTGTCTTCTCTGTCAACACAAATTAACTAAGTTGAAATATTTTTCACACAATAGCGTCAGAAAGTGGTGCCATTATTCAAGCCCAAAGATGCGATTGTTGTCAGTTGAAAGGACTTTAATGCTACATTCAGACCACTTAATTATTAGACTAGACTAGACACGCATCGTCCATATGACCAGTCTGTGGAGCCGATACAAAACAGAATGATAAGGTTCAACATTTATGGTAGTTATAGAAGTTTTTTATGCTGTAGGTGTTTCATTCTAATGTTTTATTTTGTAGGTGTTTCATTCTAGTATTTTATTTTGTAGATGTTTCATTCTAGTGTTTTATTTTGTAGGTGTTTTATTCTAGTGTTTTATTTTGTAGGTGTTTCATTTTAGTCTTTTATTTTGTAGGTGTTTCATTCTAGTGTTTTATTCTAGTGTTTTATTTTGTAGGTGTTTTATTCTAGTGTTTTATTCTAGTGTTTTATTTTGTAGGTGTTTTATTCTAGTGTTTTATTTTGTAGGTGTTTCATTTTAGTCTTTTATTTTGTAGGTGTTTCATTCTAGTGTTTTATTCTAGTGTTTTATTTTGTACGTGTTTTATTCTAGTGTTTTATTTTGTAGGTGTTTCATTCTAATATTTTATTTTGTAGGTGTTTCATTCCAGTCTTTTATTTTGTAAATGTTTCATTCTAGTGTTTTGTTTTGTAGGCGTTTCATTCTAGTGTTTTATTTTGTAGGTGTTTCATTGTAATGTTTTATTTTGTAGATGTTTCATTCTAGTGTTTTATTTTGTAGGTGTTTCATTTTAGTCTTTTATTTTGTAGGTGTTTCATTCTAGTGTTTTATTCTAGTGTTTTATTTTGTAGGTGTTTCATTTTAGTCTTTTATTTTGTAGGCGTTTCATTCTAGTGTTTTATTTTGTAGGTGTTTCATTCTAGTGTTTTATTTTGTAGGCGTTTCATTCTAGTGTTTTATTTTGTAGGTGTTTCATTGTAATGTTTTATTTTGTAGATGTTTCATTCTAGTGTTTTATTTTGTAGGTGTTTCATTTTAGTCTTTTATTTTGTAGGCGTTTCATTCTAGTGTTTTATTCTAGTGTTTTATTTTGTAGGTGTTTCATTTTAGTCTTTTATTTTGTAGGCATTTCATTCTAGTGTTTTATTTTGTAGGTGTTTCATTCTAGTGTTTTATTTTGTAGGTGTTTCATTGTAGTATTTTATTTTGTAGGTGTTTCATTCTAATATTTTATTTGGTAGGTGTTTTATTCTAGTGTTTTATTTTGTAGGTGTTTTATTCTAGTGTTTTATTTTGTAGGTGTTTCATTCTAATATTTTATTTTGTAGGTGTTTCATTCTAGTCTTTTATTTTGTAAATGTTTCATTCTAGTGTTTTATTTTGTAGGCATTTCATTCTAGTCTTTTATTTTGTAAGTGTTTAATTCTAATGTTTTATTTTGTAGGTGTTTATTTCTAGTGTTTTATTTTGTAGATGTTTCATTCTAGTATTTTATTTTGTAGATGTTTCATTCTAGTCTTTTATTTTGTAGGTGTTTCATTCTTATGTTTTATTTTGTAGATGTTTCATTCTAGTCTTTTATTTTGTAGGTGTTGGGGGTCCATCTGAACAAGTGGACTCTGGACCGGCGTTTGGGTCTGATGTGTCTGATGCTTTACTCCGTCTTCCTCTGCTTCTCCTGCCTCATCGAATACAACATCTTCACCTTCGTCAACCTGCCCACCTGCCGCGAAGACAAGTGAAAAGAACTACAGAACAAAACTACAACAAAAAAACGACAGGAAGCCCACACACGTCCCACAGTGCAATACCGAGAGGGAACGAGCTACTACTGCTACGGGGACTTTTAATTTGAAAAATCCCTCATTTCTCACAGGGGAAGTGCGGAGAGGAGAGGGGACACAGTGATGATGTACACAAGCTGCTAAACGTTTGTTTTGAAAGGAATTTAAGCAATGGTTTCAAATAGTTACTGTAAGGATCTGGTGCACATTTAATGACAATGCAAAGGAACCGTAAGACTACAATACACTGCCAATAGATTATATGTTTTACTAGATGTTATATTAGAGTTAAAGACGCTGTACCTGATTTTTACCGTCTTAAAAACGTTAAAAAACAAAAAAAAACAAAAAAACAGAACTAGTTCATTTGAAACAGTTTGCAGTGGTCCAGAGTTATTCCTCATTTACCTTACGCATTCAGAACATCCTAATTACTCACCGCGATGAGTTTATAAGCGCTTTTCGCAATGCTGCCGTCACAGTAAATGCAACAACTAGCATGCTAATCACGTACTTCCTGATTTAAACGCAGACAGCACACAGAGGACTTATTTTGGGGCCGAAAATCAGGTACAGGTCCTTTAACTGTAATCAAAACGAACTGAGGTATTAGAATTTTCATGTTTACCGTATCGCACACTCTGATAAGCTACTCTAGCGTTATTTCATTTGTAAATTAATGTGAAAAAGGTCCTATATTATGCATTTATAGCTTAAATATATGAAAAATATGTATGAACTTTACAAACATTGAGAAGCACTTACTGGATTATAACCTAATGACATCACAAGCTGGTACGGAGTATTTTGAAAGAGACAGAAAATCAGTAAAACAACACAACGTTTTGCATATTATAGGACCTTTTAAAACTATATCCAAATTGGACCAAAAATACTTATTATATTACAAATGTATTTACTTTTATCACAAAGGACCTACTAGATTGACAAATACCAAACAAAGCTTCTTGGTGAGGTGGGTAGATTAGCCTAAAATTATACTCAAATAAGTGTAGTGTTACTTCAAAATAATACTACTCAGGTAAAAGTAATAGCATAAGTAACTGTCTGAATTGAAGAACAAAAGATTAAATGCGTAAAATCTGATATCTTTCAAGAACAGACACTAAAATTTAATTCAAATGTTCAAATAATTTCATAATGTCAGTTGCCACAGTGGGAAGAGGAACCACAACTTTTACTCAAGTGAAAGTACTGTTACACTAGGGTGACCAGATTTCCCTTTGTGAAAACCCGGACACCTTACCGGAGGTGAGAGGTGGGGCCTCGACATTGAGCTACAGTCGTCCCTCGCTATATTGCGGTTCACCTTTCGTGGTCTCGCGGTTTCACGGATGTTTTTGTGTGCAATTTTGCATGCTTTTTTTTTTTTTTTTTTTTTTACAGCGTATGAACGTGTATTGCCTATTATGGGTGGGTAGTAATTACACATGGGTGGGTCAGGACTAAACCAGGTCTAATCTTGGATTTAAGAGAAAGAACGCCAAGCAGTTCGTCCGCAAATTGCGATCGAGCAATTGCTGCGTTTACCTTCATGAGGTGCAGAGTTGAGCCGGTTCTTTCTCCTGCGGTCACCTGGTTTAGTCCTGGTTTAGTCCTAGTTCAATCCTGGATTAGTCCTCCTCTTCAGTCCTGAAATCAGTCCTGGGTTAGTCCTGGTTTTGTCTCAGTTCAGTCCGTGGTGTAGGCAGCGCAAAAGTTTGATATAATCTTGGGTTAATGGGCAGGTGCGGCGCTGTTCTGCGGCATTGTACTGTGGCGTTGTTCTGCGGCGCTGTACTGCGGCGCTGTACTGCGGCGCTGTACTGCGGCGTTGTTCTGCGGCGCTGTTCTGCGGCGCTGTTCTGCGGCGCTGTTCTGCGGCGCTGTTCTGCGGCGCTGTTCTGCGGCGCTGTTCTGCGGCATTGTACTGCGACGCTGTTCTGCGGCGCTGTACTGCGACGCTGTTCTGCGGCGCTGTACTGCGGCGCTGTTCTGCGGCGCTGTACTGCGGCGTTGTTCTGCGCCGTTGTTCTGCGCCGTTGTTCTGCGCCGCTGTTCTGCGGCGCTGTACTGCGCCGCTGTTTTGCGGCGTTGTACTGCGGCGTTGTTCTGCGGCGTTGTTCTGCGGCGTTGTTCTGCGGCGTTGTTCTGCGGCGTTGTTCTGCGGCGCTGTTCTGGTGCGGTCCTGTACTGGGGTCTCCAAAAATGGACCCGTGAAGGACTCTGCACTGTAGGCTCCATTACGGACCAGGATGGAAAACGGAAAAGTTCTTGTACAATGTTAAATGCGCTTTTGTACTTCGGCATGTTGCAGACTGACCGACTGTTTGTGTCTCGCTCCTTCTGAGTCACAGACGCTATGAGAGACACTCAGTTTAATGTCCCCAATGAAAGATCATGAAAACCTGGACATTTCCATCACTTAACAAAAAAACAAAAAAACCCGGACGCCCAGGACAGGACACAAAAAACAGCCATGTCTGAGGAAAAACAGATGTTTGGTCACCCTGTGTTACACTATATTACTCAAGTAGGAGTAAAGTATGGTGTCTGAAAACTACAATTAACTACAATTAAATTATGAATGAGTAAATGTAACTGAGTACTACCCACCTCTCTAAAAGTAAAGGTTGACAATTGTATTATGAGCTCTACCGTTAGCCAATTAGCGTAAGCATATTTTGTTGCATGCTAACGATAGATTAGCACTGATTTCCATTAGGTTTCATGGCAGGATTGTTAGCATGCCGTTTGCGATTTACTGTAACTTCACACACTTTAATCAACAATTTTTAAATTTTTTTTTTTTTTTACACTTAATCAATTGTGTGAACCAGGGTCTAGACTTCCACTGCCACTTTTTATCCAAATATTTTTTACATAAGATTTTATTTATTCTTTTTGATATCATTTCAAATTTCCAAACCAGGGCATTATACGAGCAACTGTCACTAGCACCACAGCTGTAGCGTCCATGTTTTTCTATGGAAAACGTTAGCTTTATAGACACGTAGATCTTTTATTTGTACATAGCATTGTAAATATAACCAAGATGTCCTATTTATTATTTATTGAGTCACGTCATACGCACATTACTTTGCTCTGATTGGCGCAGCGCCCTCTGCAGGATTTGACCAGCGTTACGGGACCTGTTGGTGACTTTATGACAAGCACAAACTCTCTTGATGTCATTGGAGATGAACGATGCACTGCGAAGCCGATTACGAGGAGTTTTTCCTGGTAAAATGACGCCACTTTTTAAAAATACTGACTTTTTTCTTGCTCGGACGATTCCTCTTTTCGAAGACCAAATACTGATTTTAAATGTGGTACTATTTAAAACTTAAAAGCAGGTATTTTTAGTGTAGTAGTTTGTTAATGTTAGATAAGATGCATTATTAGGCATCAGGACTTTGAGAATCTCGACATTTTAGCGTTGAAACAGTTTTTAGTTCGGGATTCGATGCATTTTGTACAAACTCAAATGTCTCTAGCTCTGTCCACGTTTGTTGCCGTGGTGATAGTTTTAGAGCATGTGAAACGTGGTGTGTGAATCCTCTGGGTTTTTTAAGTCAAAAACATTTCAAAACGGCACATACTCTCTGCATCTGGCTGCGTTTATACTCAAAGACAAAATGCAATCTTTGAAATGATTTAAATACAATACTGGTTTGGTCTGTAATAATACTCACATTTTTTGTTTTAAAGTCTTATTTGCGACTAAAGGGGAGTTATGTCATTTTTCTGATGAAGGCCTGTTTATCTCTGTAAATATATGATTGCTTCACCTGGAATATTCCACAGTATGGCATTAAACTCGATACGTGTGCAGATGTTTTTATTGCTTTAAAATAAGAACCTGCATATTTACTGTGATTGGCTTGTCTCCATGGAGATAGCTAAATTTAATGTCACACTGTGCTGTGGGACATTTCTGGGAAAGCAATAAAATCACTTCCACTAGAAAAGTTACACAGTGCAGCTTTAACCTTGATATTGTTGCGTTTTATTAAACCAGCCGATCCTCCATCAGCATTAGCATTAGCATTAGCATTAGCATTAGCTTTACTTGATCCTAGCCACATTTAGCTCAAATCAGCTAGCAATATTTAGCAGCTTTTTGCACAATAGTAATGTAGCTGTTGTCATTCACACTGTATTATTATTATTATTATTATTATTGTTATTATCATTATTATTATTTATTTTATTTTTGTTTATTACTAGGGGTGTAATGGTACAAAACTCACGGTTCGGTACATACTTCGGTTTTGAGGTTACGGTTTGGTTCATTTTTGGTACAGTATGGGAACAAAACATGGACCTATTAAAATAAGTGGATAGGGTGTAGCTGCCTCCAGTTGATGTAGTGTCACTCAGTGGTTCTACAGCGGAAAAAATCTCCTGGGCCGAGACAAGATTTTTCTCATAGGGGCAAAGTAATCACAAACTGCTCGTGTTCGTCTGACAGGGACCTACATCTTTCCAAAATGTTGGATTTGTTGGCGATTTTTACCTGTTTTTAGATCATAAACTTTGTCTCAGCTCAAAATCCTTGAGTTGTCTTAAAAAACGTTTTATAATCGTTCCAGCTCCGCTCTAGCTCCTCTCGCTCTAATTGGTCAAAGCGATCATGTGATACACGAGCCTGTGCTCTGTGCGTGCGGTCGTGTGCATTTGCGTGTGCCCATAGGAGAAAAGACACTACTGCGCATACTCGGTCGGCCCACAGCCACCGGAAGAACCTCGCTGGGCTAAAGGCGGATCTGGGATCATGCACCATTGAGCTCAGCCCATTGACTTGAATGGACGGCCATTTTGAAACCTGGGGGCTTGGAGCAAAATGAAAAAAAACATTTGTTTGTTGTTTATTTGTTTATTTTATTATTAAACCAACAATTTATTTTAAGATTATACAAATGGGGAAATAAAATGCAAAGTGCTGCTTGGTAATA